ATGCTATCCAGGCGTGGCAACCGTTGCAGAAATAAGGTCTCGCTACCCTCGAGACTCCTCAACTAAGGGTAACCAAGAATGTCAGGAGCCTCTTTAATCTGCCCTATTAGCTTAGACTGCAATCTCTAAGAATGTACAGCAGTCCATATCGGCATTAACAGAGGGATCTCGTAAAGGTTTAATAGATTCTGAGGAAGCCAAAACATATTTCCGCCCGCTGCTGGAATTGAACTACAACACTAACCTAATAAGTCATCCTTTGAAACTGATAATACAGTATAGCCGGCTTGAATGCCGTGGAAATTTCTTTTTCCTCCGCGTGTGACATTTTTGGAAAGTCCTTCTTAATTATGTCGTCTCTGCTCCCGATCTGGCAATATTTAAAAAATAGCCTGACGATTCGTTGTTTCATTTGTATTTCATTTTATGACCATTTAGCCAAGGACTCCAAAACACAATCAAACAGTGCCTTACCAAACTCCCAACTAATGACTTTATAACATTTTACTTTTAATACACAACATCTCGCTATTCCGCAGAAATCTATTGAGATTCCACCAAAAAGCTTTTCAATTTATCATGCAACTTACTTTTCGCAATAATTTATGATCACTGGACTTGCTGAGCACTACATTTTTACACGTAATACACCATTGTTCCATTGTTCCATTCTACGCTTAAATGACATCTCAAAAATTAGGTGTAAAATAATGTAAACTATGTAAATGAGTCAGTTTGCCAATAAGGAACATTTGTTAGCTGCTTTTTATATGAAAAAGGGAAGGCGAACTTGAAACTGTCAAGCCTACGGTCTGGATTGGTATATGGATAACAGTGGAAATGTATGTGTGGGCTTCTTATCCTCAGTGGGCGTCTTACCCCCCATGGCCCCATATATAGTCAAAAAATGGACATCCAGTTATTAATGCCGTACTCCTGCACTCAGCGTAGTTTCACTCCAACTGGTGACAACTAAAAATTCCAAGGTACATTCAAGGAGTAGAATGAAGATTTAGTCTTAAGTAACAAAATGTAACTAGATCGATGTGTCATCCAAATGGCTTTTTTTGAACATGAGTAGTGTCAGTGCAGGGACGATCGATTCAATTGGAGTATTTCAAGGTGACAAAGGCGAATAGCGAAGAAATTTCTACGACACACAATGCGACTTTGATAATCTGCTACATTCATGGCGTGATCTCTCAGGTTTGGATTACTGTTGCGATGCAATAAAGAGGCACACATCATGTGGATGGTACAGAAACAAGTACGCCATTATAAGGTAGCCTCGTAATCGGCAATACCGTCCGTTGAATACCCCCAATCGTTTCAATCTTTGCGCGTTTGGGAGATTGCGCTTTCAAATGAGCCATTTGGATGACCGCAATTTAAAGCTCCTCCAATTCACTGAGGTCATGTTTCAATCATAGATGCCAGATTTGAACAGCGTATTCGACATGGGGGCGGACATGCGCACAGAAATTCGGTCAGAAAACAGAGATATCTATTTGTCCGAATGCCTTTCACAACAGCCCGACGTTTTGGTTACCATCTTTGGATACCTGGAGCAACCTAAGTCATCTTGAACCAGCGCACATGGATCACGAACCCATGGCCGCTAGCTACATACCTCAAATGGCTAGTTGCTTATGCCATTGAGCTATGGGGAAAGAGGCAGACCGTCTGAAATTGTAAACTAACTGGGATTTAGCGCAACTTATCCTCCACTGCCATACAGGTTCCTACAACTGCAGCGAAAGGCAGCTGGCTTCCGAGGTCATGACTTCCACAACACATTGGCTATGACGGCATAGCATAGTTTAAGGTCTTAGTTCTGCTTCCGAATTTGTGAACCCGTTATTATTCCAACTTCCACATAGCAGAAACCTGGTTCTGATCCAAGCAGCACCGAAAGAACTGAGCCAAATGTTCTACTATTTGTTGTAATACGGTTGTCAGCGCTTCTGGGCGAATGGTATCGACATCCGGGGAGTTGTGGTTACGCAAAAGCGTCAGATTATGCAAACGAGCTTCCACGGTAAAGAGACTTGGGTGAATCTCGGCGACGGGGCAACAAATGCTGGAAGATCACCTGAGGGTAAGACCTTCTGAAATGTGACGCAATATTGCGTTCACAACGAGTTTGCTGTTCATGCAGACATTCTTGTCGGGCCATCAGCTGTCTGCAGAAGAGAAAATCTCTAACTCGCCTTACGAAGGCCATTGACAAGCTTGTGCAGCAACGGTAACATATAAAGATGGTTTGATACAAGTAAAAAAGCTAATGCTTACTCGTAGGATGGTTATGGTGAAACCTCAACATATATAAAAGAATTGTTTGCAAAATTGGGTTTAGACAGTGATTTCACAGAGTTAAAGGTACTATAAGCCGTAAATCCAAAATGAATCCATAAGTAATGACGGCAAATGGGATGATGGTACAAATCATGTCACCTACCGGTGTATGAATAAAGAAGGTGAAAAGGTGGAATGAAATCTGGAATTTGACCGCCAGTGAAATCTCTTACACACACTTGTGTTTATGCATGGGTAAGGGGTCATGTAAGATGGTGCAGCGAAGTAAGTGCGCGGTCAACTCGGACTTTGAACTTTGCCAGCGTGGGCGTACATATGACAGGTTCCGGTAGGGCATTCCACGTTCGCAAACACGTACGGAGACGAAATTATGACAAGGTTCCAAACGACTTTACTGCTCTTCCAGTTTGAGACATTGGCCTCTCGAATTGCTGTTGCGACTGAGTCTAGCAAGTATCGGCACATGTGCTTGTGCTCTCTTAAAATCTGCTAAGGCAAAATTTGGTCCTTGCGCAATCCCCGATATTGTTCGCTGAAGACGCCGAGAACTTGAAGCCTTAGTTCATACGACAAATTATAAAGATCCTTAAGATTTTTGGTTGCGTGATGTTGTGGTATCTCTAAAGCGGTGAGATCTCGCTTCAACCATGGCTGTCAGATTTGTATTGCGTATTCCACATATGGCCGTATGTATGAGCCGAGAAGTTTTGGAATAACCGAAGGGTCGAATCGTCCGAATACACACTTGACGACGATTCAGCCTGATACGAACACCCAAAGTCGATATGGACAAAACCCCCCAGATGAATCACTCCTGAAAACTGAAGCTCCTGTTTGAGTAGTTTATAGGAGTACACCAACTTGTGGAGTAGGTGCAGTACTCTATATTTGTTTACATTGAATCGAAGTAGATGCCGGTTTGACCACGCGAACACCGTATTCAGACCACCTTGTAGTACTGTGAAATTGTCTGGTGCATTGATCGCCATCCACACCTTGATGTCATTGGCATAATGCCTGCAGTTCGGACTTATGAGGCGTGTGATATCGATAATATACGTCAACAATAATCATGGTTCTAGTACCAATCTCAGTGGTACTCCGCATTCAACTCGGATGGGATCTGACAGCGATTCGCGCACTCGTACTTCCAGTCGCCGTTGCAGAACGAAGCTTCTAATTCATCCTAGGAGAAGATCTCAAGAACCAAACTTCATGGGTTTGAAGAACAGGATGTCATAGTCTAAGGAGTCGAAAGCCTTTGGGAAGTCGAGAAAGACTGTATCAACTCCTTTACCAGAGTCTACTGCTTCAGTCCAGCTGCATCGTGCTAGTAGTAGATTTGCAGTGCACGATCGATTTTGTCAACAGCCATGGTGTTCCGATGCGTGGTAGTTAAATTCTTCCAAGTACGCCGTTAGAGCATCAGAAATAATAGCTTCCATGACCTTTGAAAGAACCTGTATTATAATTATGGCAAGGTAGTTGGTTGGATTGGAACGACTACCTCCCTTGTGAATAGGAGTAATCATCCCGTGTTTGGCATGTCAGGCGCGTACATTTCGTCAAAACAGCGTTGGAAGAACCGAGCCAATGGCTCAGCTAAACTCCCTCCTACTGCCTCTAGCGATTTCATGTGCAGATTATCAACACTTGGAGAGCTGTGCTTGCGCATACTGAACAACCCTTTTAGTAAAATTGCTGCTGTGTAAAACATGTGAGTGAACTTTTGGGGTGAAATAACCATTGTGGCCAGTGCAAGTTGTGTTTAGTGCCCTCTTTATTGCCGATGGCAGACAGAAGTCCAGGTATGGTATGGTGGAAGGGGGCGGTAAATGACGGCTACTAAGCAGATTTCGTTGCATTTTAAGTGTAAACGGCACCAAAGGGAATCCTGTGCCGCATTGATCGGACTCTCTATGAGCTCACACTAGTGATTATTGCGGAAGTACAGAGCCACCCCTCCACATTTACTGGGTTGATCACGCCGAACACTGGACGTGCTGGCAGTATGGTCTCCATTTCACGTATGTCAGTGCGTAAGCATGTCTCTGTTATAGCAATGAAGTCGCAGGCTTTTGATGCTTGACGCAGCCGGATCTCGGAAATTTTACTCAGTAAGCCTTGAGCGTTGTTCTACATACAGGAAAGCCTCTCGGATGTTAAAAGCTGTTGACTAGGAGCACATGAATTATGTGGATTTGTGCAGACCGATGAGAGTCCGGTATCTAATAGTTTTTGGGTGAATTTCCAAACCTCAATAGGAAGACAATCCGTTTTTGATATCACTTGCACTTGCTGCATATAGTCATCAGCAGTCTACTCGATGGTTACGGGTTTTAGCGCCCAGGTTTCTGGATCGTTCTTGCGGTTATATTGGGTCGTGGTTTCTGACAAACGCTGAGCTTTTGCCATGTTCCGCTGATATACGGCTTTGTCGTCTCTGCGCAGCTGAGTTCAATGGTTACCTTGGGCTACGTGGCGTGTAATGATACATTATTCACCTGCTTGGTCAACCATGAAAGTCTACATAACCAGTGAATGATAAAAGAAGTCGTTCACTCTTACAGATCATCCAGATGAGGAGTCGTCACGTCTATATATGCTAATAGTTCGTTGCACTTATCCATGTACATTAGATTCACATATGCTACTTCGACAATTCGTGTCCCTCTACTCTGCAGCCTTTGTGTACGCCACAATCTTCGGAAACGTTACGACCATATTACAACAGACTCACGCGGCCAGAGCGCGTTTGCAACAAATGATGGCCAATGTACAAGATTTTCTGCGAATCCACAGTGTGCCGAAGGAACTGGCAGAAAGAGTGATCGATTACGTCACATCCACCTGGTCGCTTACACGAGGAGTGGATCCCGAAACGGTAAGTTTCTCCAACAATCGTCACCGGAACAGTCGCAGGACTGTCTCACAGTATTGTAAGGTTCTGGTGCCTACGTGTAAGTTTATTTTCCTCTCCATGTTTTCTCTTACGTGATAGGTTGGAGGCTATCACGCTTCTTATGGCGAATGTAAACGTGTTACTTTCGGCAGCTATACAAGGAAATATCTAACGACTTACCTGCCTCTGTATAGATGATATATATTAGGTAACTGCAATTACTGAAAGGTGTGATAACTTTCATAGGCTAGAGTCTGCCAAGCATACCAGCTCTGGCAGTCCTTTTAGTTATTTTAACACTTTTCACACTACTAGATATTTACTGTTCTTATAACAGTTTAGCTCGTATGGAACTTTCGATGAAGCCTTTGATTAGCTCATCACATTTCTGGATGGTTTTATTGGAAATTTATAGTTGGTGGCGACGGCATTTGCGATTTATTAACTATCCTACCTGAGGACCTTAAGGCTCTATTGCGACAGCTTGCAAACTACCTAGAGCTCTGAAATATCGTGGACATTCCTGCTATTTCTGAAGCGGTTCAGCAGTGTGAGTTATGAGATTGGCCCATCGACTGTTTCATACCCATTTACCATTCAGGGTCCCAGTCGCTTTAATAGACCATCTATTTCGTCCACTGATTTTGCGATCATTGGCAGGAACGAAAATTCCATTCCCACAGTAAACCCTGTATAAAAGTTGCTCCCTGTTAAAGCCAGTAGTTTAAAAGAAAATTGGTAGGTTGCGTATGGATAATTATGTACTATGTCTTTACTTCCTCTAACTTAGGGAAATTTAACAACTGGGTTATTTGAAGGAATATTCTGGGCTTTCTTGCTACCCCGCCCGAGGTACAGCCCAAACTGGGTCTTGATCACCATCCCTTTCGGTGACAAGTTGGAAACGGTAAGTATTTTCAAAGTCGGGTGGTCAGGATAGTTCAAACACAAAGTTGCAAGAGGTATTCCGAACACTTATTTAACTTGGACATATACATCATTTCCTATGAAATAATTCGGATAGATTCGCTTCCTAACTACTTTAGCTTAGCAGCAAAATAAGACTTATCTTGAATTCAGAGAAGTTTGGAAATAGTCGATTGGCATAATGGTTTGGTAACTTTTCACGCTTAACATAAGAGCTACGTCAGACCAAGTGAATCAGAGGGCAATTTGAGTAAGATTTTATAGCGAACAGGGGCGATACATCGTTACCCATGCTATGTACACGACACCTTTTCACTTGTTAACCGGGCTAAGAAGGACGAGTTTCTTGGTTATTTAAACCCCATCGAAGAGAGGATACAATTTGTTATTGAGTTGGAAGCTTTTGGAGGTACAATACTATTTATTGACTGCCTGATTCACAGTAATGGGGAAATTTGAAAACGACCATACATCGCAAGCCAAAGGATATTGACGGCGTTCTCCAATTACACTTCGAGTCATCCGAAACAAGTTTACGCTTGGATAGCCTCAGTGCTGTTCTACAGGGCACAAAACCTAGGCAGGATGATGGAGGACAAAACGGCCGCGATGGAAAATGACAATGGGTAGAATACTAGATAATGCTTACCCACGGCTACTAATCAAACTCCAATTACATACAATAATAAACCGACAGTTAAGATCCACAACAGCGTGGATAGGGACGGTAGGAATTCCCTACAAGAAAGATACTTCAGAGGCGATTCAGAGGGTATTAAACAAGGAAAATATAAGTGTGATCTTTCAGCGAGGTCAAGCACAACGTTCAGCACTGGTACGCATGAAAGACCCTTTACCCAAGGGTATGACGACTAACTGTGTGTATAAAGTTACATGTAAGGACTGAACACAACTGTACATCGGCCAAACAAAGAGAGAATTATGCATACGAACTTCAGAGCACAGGAGACGAACTTCAAGACCATCAAGAGAGGAGTGTGAATACCAGGCAACAGTAAGAGACACGGACGTGGCTGTGCATGCATTAGCAAGCGGTTACCAGATAGACTTAGTAAAGATAGTAGTCATTGGGAGGGATAAAGGATCAAAGCCTCAGTGGTTGATTGCCTAGACGGTGGAAATTACCAAGTCTGATGACTGCGTGAATAGAATGGATGGGGTAGAACTTCCTATTCCGTGGCGAGCGATCTTAAGCCGGCCAGCCTGACGAGCATCGGTGCGTGAATCAGATTGGAAAGGGCAAACTAACTCCCATTGTCAACTATAGGCTCATCTGTCAATGCCATGACGCACAAAGGAACACCTGGGCTATTCCCACCGGGATTGAACCACCTGAGGAGACATCACGATCTGTGGCTGTAATGACACCTTGGCCCAAGTCTCGGGTAAAGCGCTTATTGCCCTGTAGGCTATAAAAGCCTAATCCAAATGCTTGCAGATTCAACTGGTCTGACGAAGCTCTTGTATCAGGGGCGAAAAGTTACGGAAGCACTTTACCAACCTATTGTTTCTAAAGCTCTCAGAACACATGACTAGTCGATCGGTACCAAGTATTTTCCAAGAAAATGTAAACTTGATTGCATAAACTCCCATTGGTCTCTGACCGTCTGAATTATCTCGTGAAACTGCGCAAATCAGAGTCTGGATGACTATAAGTAAAACCGAATTTAAGCACCGGGTTATCGACTACTGGAATTTCATCTCACAGAAGATGGCTAGGTGATGTACCATGAGTTGTTATAAGCGTATAATTGAAGGTTCGCTCATGCTGGCACAGAATCCTTCCGCTCTGCCACCAGCTCGTTCACTAAATGTTATTTTTTGTATCCCCGGGAAACGTAAACTGTGTCTGTCTGAATGTCATTTTTCCTCATTTTCACTGATTTCCCATTGTTCTTCGTTGACGTTTATATTGGATGATCCATGCAAAATAGTCTGCTAGCGCGGGTTGCGTAGACAGAAGCTGACTGATTCATAGCTTTTTAGGCTCATAAGGAGTTCAAGGCGTTTTGTCAATTCCTGACTCAACCCACTGTAAATGAGCGTTCAAAGTTGAAGTGCATTTCGTGCTCCTGCCAACTAATCGCCAATTAGTAACATCTGCTATTTTCACATCACGTTTACTGTCATATGCGCAGTGGATGTCGAGCCCAGTCCACTCAGGTGGATAAGCACTAAACATTAATGCACGCACGCACGCACACATACACACACCAATCTCATCGTGTCGCCAGTGAAAGCATGACGAGATGTCTCCTCAGTGCCTTGTACAGACTAGTATTTTAAATCTCCTTAGGGTTCCGAGCCCTACGGAGCATACGCTCTGTATATTTTAGTTAGCATGGTTAATATGTATCATGCACCCAAGCAATTTTAAGGTTAAAGACGTTTTGCGGGTAATTCCTAGGTACCTAGGTCGCCTAATTGCGTGCACCATGATCCAGCAGTACGAACACATCTAGTAACGTTGCTGGATGAACGAAGACAATTCCTTACCGTCCACACAAGCGAACCCACATGTGAGGTGCGCAACTTGAACAGATGTCTTAAAGAAAAAGAAACCTACGCGCATCACAAGCTGTTTAACAAAAAGGAAATCGCATCAAAGATGAGTGACCAGCACTGCGACCGATTTCCTACCTCATTCATGCTCACGGCTTAGAGCTCAGAGAATATCACTACCGGGGTGAATACGCTGTAAAGTCAGGTTGCCTATGCTAGTATACAGCTTGGTGCCAGACACCACGCTATGGAAAGAAATCAAAATGCTAACTGAAAACACTGTCTGTGCACTGGAAAAGTTTGAAGACATTCGGAGGTATTTTGCATTCCACTGGCTGTCCAATTGCAATCCACTAGATCCTGAAACTTCAGAGCATCTTATGCCTCCTGGATCGCACGGAAATATCTACTGTACATCAGTCCACCATATTGTGCTGTCTTGCGCATCCGACATAATGGTGAACTCTGCTGCAATTCTAGAAGTCTGTAACGCCTCTTAGCTTTTACTGCTGATGTACTATCAAAATGAAGTGACAGAGGTGAATGAACAAAGCCGAACACCGTCTGCTTGTCTTTATCAATGACCACTGTTTTGATGGAACCATCTACTCTGGTCAAGTCACCTCATCGGAATACTTACCGACTGTACTGCTAGATAATTCGGTATTAGATAGTGCGTATTCGCGTGAAGCTCCAGCGAAGCCAGTGGCAAATATGGCTGAGAGGAAATAGGTAGCTTGACGAGAGGTGATTGTTTGCGCGTTTCGTTTTTCTCGGTAGGATGTACCCACGCTGTACGGCCGCACTGTAACTCAACTCAAATTTAGCCCCTTGTGGCCACCCTAATACTCCGCACACAACATTGTATATGTACTTGTTCGAACCAGTTCGACGAGCTATACTCAGCGCTTCACACCGCTTGGAGCTAACTTGTGTAGATTATAAGCTTGCACCAGTTCTCAGTTTTGGCATATTCTTTGTCGTTTTCTACATGTGTAACCACAACAATCCGGAGCTTTTCGGCAATCATTTTGGTCTCATTCAGAACAAGAAACTGAGGAGTCCCAAACTACCCGGTAACCATCGCTGCAAGTTGCAGCATAAGAACGTTACAATCCTTTTCTTCGCTCATCCACTGAACATTGCTTCCGAGGCACTTAGGAACGCTTATCAGCGCTCACCGATCAATACACGGCCGCTTCGTGTGAGTGTGCGTCCAACCGCGAGATGTTTGATCACAGAAACTTGCAGCAAGCGCGCGGCCGCACGTAAGATTCGGTGTGACATACATCTGTCTCGGCTGACTGATCTTAGTGCGGGTTGAACAACGCTCAATTCTTGTGGATGGTTCGACCTGTTTGTGGGTGAGCGCCAGTACCACAAAACCGCTCAGGTAGATCTTTCTGCTAACAAAAACAGAGCAAGCAGCATTCCGATGGTGTGTCGCCTAGGTTGCTCAGAGAATTGAGGTAACCTTCTTAAGATGGGAGTAACCTGTTCTAGCTGCAGTAGCTCGTACTATACGCTATTAA